AGCCAATCTGCAATCCATCTGACTGTGTAGGCATCAATGCCACAGTCGCCTAGTTTTTTAATGAGGATGGGGTGGGAGACGGTGTCAAAGGCCTTGCTGAAGTCTAGAAAGACTACGTCCACGGCGACACCTGCATCCATTGCCTTTGTGACCTGATCATAAAAGGCAATCAGGTTGGTCTGACATGATCTGCCCCTAATGAAACCGTGCTGGTTGCCCTTCAGCATCATCCCTGAAGCTGGCCCATCACAGATGTGCTCCTTGAGGATCTTCTCAAAGAGTTTCCCAAGGACTGAGGTAAGACTGACGGGCCTATAGTTGCCCGGGTCCTCTCTCTTCCCTTTTTTGAAAATGGGGACCACGTTAGCTATCTTCCAGTCATCTGGCACCTGGCCCGAGCACCACGAGTGCTTGTAGAGCCGTGCCAAGGGCCCTGTAATAACCCCAGCTAGCTCCCTCAACACCCTGGGGTGGAGAGCATCTGGATGTCTGAGATGGAGCCAAAGAGGACATTTGCAGATTGGGTGTGAGAGGACAGGGCTTGTTTCTTGGTAGTGGTCCATGCTATGTGTCTCAGGGCCTTCATAAATAAATGACTTCAGCCACAAACGTGGGAAAGTGGTCAGACTGGCCGGCACAGAATTTATTGGAAAGTAAAAACTATTCCTGCATTGGAATTAGCAGATTCCACAGAAAGTAACATTAAATTCACGTATGCAGTTTCAACACTTTCACATCTCTCACATCCCAGGCTTGGCAGACAGGTGTGGTATGGACATGGTGCTAAATGATATGAGTATCACCAAATCATTTCCTCCCTGTTGGCACTTGCATGGAGTCTCTTACACTGTTGCAAAGGGCCCTGGCACAACTGTACGGTAAAGTTCAGGGGTTTCCTTATGGTTCTTCTTGTGCCTCACCTGACTGTCTTACTGCACTGCAGGTTTGTGCTGCCTTTTACCTGTGCACATCGGCAGAGGCTCCGGGGGTCCAGGAAAGAGAAGACGTACAAAGACAGTGTTCTGGGCAGCTGAGTGGTGAAGTCCAGGGCCTCAACGGGCACCCGCTCCTGCAGCTGCTTCACACAGAATTTCTGCTGCGCCAGGGAGCAGCGCTGGAACAGGTCCACCAGGATCCTCCGCCGCTGATTGTCTGTCCACTTGTCAAACTGAAAGAAGGAGTTTCAGGTTGTGCAAAGGGAGGGGTAAAGCCTGAAGCAAGGTAAAGGGAGCTTTTGCTTCTGGTCACCCATTCCCAGGCAAAGCAGATGGAAATCACAGGCAAACAGAAAGGCTAAATGAGAAGAAACTGCAGAACCCTGCAGCACATGACACAAAACCTTCACAGATATGAGATGGGCCCAATCCTGGGCTCTTTACTCTCATGAGTGGTCCAAAGTGTTACCTTCACAGGACTACTCCTGGAGTAAAGACATTTGATACATAGGTGATTGCAGGACAGCACCCTGAGTGAGAATGATGTTTCCTATACATCCCTGGTAACTATATAGCCCCAATTACCAGAGTGCCCAAGTGTCCTGTGGGCCTTAGCGTGGCTATTCACACAACTGCCCTGAGCACTAGGGAAATATTATTATCCCCATCATTTTTCAAGGGGACTGAGCCAAAGAAAGGAACTCACACATCAAATCCATGGCAGAACACAAACTAAACCTGTATCCCCAGCCAACCACAACCAACCTCTTCTCAGCCTCTCCAGCACAATGTACGTGAAGAGGGTTAAAGTACTGTGGTCTCATCTGTATGAGGAAGGGTGTATTTACACAGTCAAATGATCCTGTATTTCTTGATATAGGGGCTATGATTATACTGTATGTCAACAGCTCTGGGCAAGGGATGTGCACACAGAGTGATGCAGCAACAGCAATAAAAGACATTTTGTGTGTGCAGGCAGTAAAACCTGGAAGGGAACAGGAGCCTCCAGGGATCACCAGTGGGCTTTGCACTCTGTATGTATGTATGACTACTACCCTCTAGGAGGACAGAGCTAAGACTAGGAAAAATATTGGGGGCGCCTATACACGAGCAGCGAGGCTGCTCTGATGCGCTGTAATTAATTGAGTTTGCCGGAGCATGAACATTACTGTGCTCCAGGAGACTCCAGGGTCTCCTGTATCAGCGCCCCTGCTGCCATTTTTAAGTGCAGGGACACTGATACACAAGATGCTCTGGGTGCTTTAATTGGAGGAGCTCTTGGAGCCTCTGTAATTAAAGCACCCCACCCCGAAGCGCATGCAGAAACACCCTGGGAGACCTTTCTGCCTGCAGTTGGCAGCAGTGGCTGTCCCCTCCAGAGCCTGTGATCAGTTGAAATACAACAATTCAAGACAGCAGCTTGAGCTGAAATCCCACTTGCCTCCTTTTGAGTTGATCACCACAACCCCATTCCTAGCTGCAGGTAAAGGCCTGCTAGCTGTATTACATTTAATGGAAGTGAACCCTCCTAGCTCTTCTGTGTTGCTCTTGGAGTGCTGTTTTCCCTTATTTATTTCTTCTAAGTGTATTGACTAGGCCCCATAATCCAACCTTGCAAGGCTGTTCTCAGCACTCCCCCTACCCATCACTGACAGCATCTTCTTTATGGAGAAAATCCTTGTGCATTTAGATAACTCCCATGGAGTCTGAAGGTACCAGATTGGAATGGGCTGTGGGGGGGTTTGCCTTCCTCTAGCCAGGGCCATGGCCTCTTCCTAGGAGCCATACCACAGGGTACCTCCAAGAAAATAAAACAGATTTATTCCCTTTTTTGTTTCTTTGTGATGATTAAAGAGAGCCTAGACCTTTCGCAGTTAGTAGTTTTTTCCTGCTGGTTTTCCCCAGTAAAAGTTCAAATCTCACGTACCCAGCTTTTCCTGGTGATATTTTTTATTGGACCAACTGTGCAGCTAGACAAGCTTTTGAATGCAAGACATTCTTCTTCAGGCTGATTATTAATGGCATTTATTTAATTCAAGTACCTAAAAATCAGTTGGTAGGAAGGATTTCTTTGTTAACGATTAAATAAATCTACTCCCAAACACATCTCAAAGAAGTTGAAAAACATGTCCAGCAAAACCATGATAGACCTGGCATTCCTCAACTTGGTAACCGTAGGTAAAAACAAAAACAAGGAGCACCTTCCAAATGTTAAAGTCTTTTTTATTCATTAGGAAAAAGCAAGGCAAGGAACAAACCTGTTTTTCTTTTTTGTATGTCACTGTTAACATTAGCAGGAGATTGCCAGAGTACTGAGGGAAAATGAAGAAAGACTTCAAGGTCTGGCCCTATAAAAACACACCTCGGAGATGATGAAACCATCAATAATTGGCAATTCCCAAAGGTCCAACACAAGTAACAGCCATAAGGTGGGTAGTTTATTGTCTTCCTCACCAGCAGCTCGGTTGAAGTAACTGAAACAATCCTTTAATAGATGAGCATATTTGCTCTTAACCCTTCACATGCGTCGTGTTTGGAATAGAGCTAAACTGCATTATCCCTGGAGTCACTTTACTGATGGGTGTCCCCAGAGATGTCTGGGCTTGCACTGCAAATGCATAGTCCATCAAAATCAATGCAACGCGCTCAGCAGCACAGGGAGAGGGTAGTGTCTTTTCCAAGGGGTGTATCCAGCAGCCAAACAGTTAAGCGTATTTAATGCATCCCTTCTTTCACTATTACCAAGCACAACCCTACCTCTCTCTACAGAGCCTCCCCTTACATTTGATCACATTAATATGACTAGTTTAACTAGTTATTCCTTGCAAGATGCCAAGCCGTCTCTGTAACTCCTGCTAATGTCAGTTTTCCCCTTTTCTGTGTCTTTCTCTGAGCTCTGCAAAGGTCAGTGACATGAAGCTACACTGGACACTGCCTAGTAAATGTACAGCCTCAGTGGACATGTTGCCAGGGGCCAGCAGTGAACGAACCCCTGACCTTTACCACCAAGGAGCTGAAAGGCACCTCCTTTCCCTAGATGGAGTCACTGATCCAACCAGGAGGAGGAGACAGCTTCATTAGCACTAAACCAACAACTGACATGGAGGCTTTTGCTCATAGGTGTTACCATCACATGCACACAAAGTGACCACACACCCTGTAAACCTAGAACTGGATTCTCTGGTCCACTAAGGCTACTTTCTGCCACAAAACAGTGTACAGTGGTCTTAAAGTACAGGGAGATGGTCAGTACTGAACCCCACCATGCAGCTAGCTCCCAGCTCTTATCCTCCACCTGTCTCCAGTGTGCTTGCTGAGTGGAGAACCACACCCTCAAGAGTTGAAAGATTTGGACTTTAATAGCACCCCGGGACTCATTTGGGAAAGTAGAGCGATCTCTCCATTAAGGAGAACTATTCATATTGCTATGTAGATGGAAAGGCACATCACTCTGGAGAGCGAGGGGATGTCAAATTTCACAGCCTGGTGAAGATGAGGAGCAGGGTGGCATTCACAAGAACATGCTATCATTGCCGTGCCCTGTGGTGCCTACTGCCAGCTTAATTTAGACACAGCCTTAAGGCTTTATGAAAAATATCGTCTGCCTACTGCACAGTTTGCTGTTTCCATGTGCTTGAAGCTAAAGAAAATGGAAGGAGAGGGATCATTTTAGCTTTGTTCTCTGAGAGCCTGGACAGGTGACACTTTTCCATCACAGTAACCAGCATCACACCAGTATAAAGAAGAAGTGGACAGATAACACACTGGGACAACTTCACCCAAGGTAGTGGAAAATTGACCCTGAAAGAACCAGGGGTAAAACTCACCTGGTGTAAGTTCCACCTGTTGAGGTGTATCCAACCTCGGTGGCCATCTGTGCAGGGGGCTGCAGTAGATCACTCAAATTACCTTCCAACCTTATTGTAGGTGCATGATAGACAATAGTATCTGCTCCCCTGCTGTCCTGTGCAGAACTACAGTAATAGCCAGTGGGTACATCTACACGTGAGCTGTAATGCACATTAGTTTCATAGGTAGGGTCAGAAGGGACCTGAGCAGATCATAGTTTCATACTTTCTAGGGTCGGAAGGGACCTGAGCAGATCATCTAGTCCGACCCCCTGCCATGGCAGGAAAGAGTACTGGGGTCAAATGACCCCAGCAAGGTGTTCGTCTAACCTCCTCTTAAAAACCCCCAGGGTAGGAGCCTGCACCACCTCTCTTGGAAGTTG